TTTTTATGGGTGAGGCCAACAGTGACTGACCTTGTCCCATGTGTGAGATGGCCTCCAGCTGCCTGTGCGTTGTGGCTTTAGCGATGGCCTCTGGCAGCTGCAGAGGGAAAGGCAACACATCCCTGCAGATACAGAAAAAACAAACCTGAGCATATGTGTGATCAGAGACTTCTGGGTAATTCACTACGTGGCCAAAAGTATATGGACAACCAAGCATTACATCCATGTGTGAACCGCAAGCCACTAAGCTGCTGCTTTAATCTCCCATTCTTCTGGTTTCAGGCTTCTATCCAAATTTTATAATTTCAGATCCCAGCTGCGACGCCACTGGTGCCGGGCGATAAGGCCTGACTTTCATTTAGCATTCTGCTTTATCCCGAAGGTGCTGAACGCACTCAAAGTCAGGGCTTTGAGTAATCCAGTGGAGTTCATTGTTCTGATTAAAGCATCATCCCCAAACTCTTGCCTCAAAGGTGGATGCATTCTATTGTGCAGCTGTAAGGTTTACACTATTTGGAAGTCCCTGACTATAACAATCCCCAACCAAAAATGTCAAGGGTAGGAGTGCCCACATGCTTTTTTCCATACCTGTTAATACTTGTAATTTATTACCTGCTGATGCAGTAGAAGGCCACCAGCCGACACAAGTCAGGGAAGGTGAGTGCCGAGCTCTCCAAGGCGAACGCTAGTTACAGAAGAGAGAGAGGCTGAGTGACAGCTGTGGAGGCAGCGAGACACTTGCTCAAATTTAACAGGAAATACTGCAGCTGCAAGTAATTTGGAGGACCCATCCTCTGTGTCCCGCATCACCTCACCCACTAAGTGTACGGACCGCACTGTGCCACAAACACTGAATGTTGAGCGTATTGCTGTAGCTGCAGGTGGATGCTAATCTAATGCTTTTTTTTTTTTGTATACTCACTGGAGTCCTCCTCACAGATGAAGCACTCCTTAACAGAGGAGGCACTTCTGTCTGCTGTCACCCTCAAACACAGCACCTTCCTCTGGCTGGAGCTGCATTTGCGCACGAGAAAAGTCTGCGAGCACCAACAACCATGACAGAAACACAGAACAGTGATGTTATTGTCATTTTTAAAATGTTTTCATATTTTTAAGGAGAGGACACATGTAAAGCAAAAAAATAACAGCTCGATACAAGTTTCTTTACAGTCCGCCTGTAGTTAAATGTCAGCTGTTGTGATAAATGTGACTTAAAAATTCATTTCAGTAAAAGTTTCTTTGCATAAAAAACAATCAAACCCACTCTTATGTTTGTGTTTACGACACAGCATGAGCCAGGAGGGTTGGTCAACATGCACAGGACCACGTGGCCTAATGGATAAGGCGTCTGACTTCGGATCAGAAGATTGAGGGTTCGAGTCCCTTCGTGGTTGTTCTTGTCCTTTAAGTCACTGGTTGCTGAACAAATAAGGCTTTGAACAAGGCTGTGTCTACTCCTGGCTGGACTATCTAAATGAAACACTTGTGTAACCAAATAAGGCAGCATCTAAAATGCTAGACATCCGTGGTATTCCCTACCTAGAAAACAAAAAGTTGATCTTACTCTTTCTAATTACCAAATGAAGCCTTACTTATTGAACTTTAGAGGAGCTGGTAGTTGTATTTTTCAATCTTGGCTGACTACTTTTTAGATTTTAGGATAAAGGTTTATTTTTATAGATTGTTTGACATTAACCTGAACTAATAAACATGTGAGGTGTTTTTTTTAATGAGATTCTGCTACAATAACTGGCTGATGTGTTCCTTGTTAAACCATTTAGTTCAAAGCTTACTCCACCTGATGACATAAGATTAACATGATTAATTGGTCCTCACCCCGACAGGCTCTCTGAGCAGGATGTAGAGGGCAGTGTCTTGTTTGAGCGACAGCTGCAGCCACACTGGATGTGTGAGCAGCAGACGATCCAGGACGCTGAAGCTCCGCTGGGAGCCTCGCTGGGAACTGCCCACCTCCTGCATCTGCAAAACAAAGGTAGTCACACAGTAACATCAGATGGGCTGTTCCTGTCAGTTATTTCAGCTTCAGCTACAGGTCGGTTTTTCACATTTAAAGTGATCTCAAGCAGTGAAGTCTCTTTACCGTCACTGGAAACTGCTTCTGATCATTCCAGGGACGTCCGTCTCCATAAAAATGTGACCGTGCTTCATATTTTATTCACTGTTGTTCGCATTTTACACTTTACAAATGACTGTGTAATGCTTCACACTGACTAAATAGTTCTCCTCAAGCTTCAGTCAAGTTTTACTCCGTGGTTTTATCATTTATTTCATGTATTTCAGTCATCTGGGTTCTCCCTCATTTGTGGTAGATTTTGGCATTTTTGAAAGACACACTCGATTTAATCTGTTTGACGTACAGCTTGATTAAATCTGGTATTAATCGTACGGAAAACAGCTTTACAGAGTGACTTTTTTATTTAATTGACCAGAATAAGTGCGTTCTCTATAAAAACCTGTCTTGTTTCTATTTATTTGTTTGTGTGTGTTGCAGGTGGAAAGACTTATTCCTTGTTTATTTCATATAGTTACTACAGTCCCTAATACAAATGCTTTATCAGGAAGATTCTGCAAAGTACTAATGATATATTCAAGTGCATCATTGTGGTCAGTTTGGATTTATCGCTAAGACCTGATTCTGTTGAGGCAGGTTGCAGGTAAACAAGTGAAACAGACGCTGCTTCGTTTTGCAGTTTTTGTGCTAGAAAATGAAAATCATATTTAATTAAAGTTGCGACCAATCCAAAAAGACAGCAACTGTCATGATAAATCAAGTTTGTGTCAGATTCATGTGAAATAACTATGAAGACAAGTCACTCTTATTTACATGAGACATTTAAAACAATAAAAAAAATCAACCAAAAGTACTTTCCAATCTTGACAAACTGACCTGACTAATCAAACCATGATGATTGTACAACCCGCTCCACCACATGAGCCATTATTCTGCCCTCTCAGTGCTGTGGTTGAGTTTCTCCCCTCTAATCTAAATTCACCAAACAGGCTCACATAAAACAGCTCCACTGCTCTGTTTCCTACATGCCCACAGAACTAGAGTCATGTCCAGTAACTATTATTGCTTTTCTTTGGCGCACTCGGAGCATTGCAATCAAAGCATTTGGATCCTTTGCAGCGTCGGAAACAGAAAGTCTGAAAGTTTCTGTAAATGTTCACAACAACTTGTGTCTGTCCCGAGTTCCCGCAGGGGAAAGCCACCTAGCGACAGTGGAGACGAAATGAGATGCTTTAATGGTCTCCAGCCAGATTCGAAGCAACAATGACGTGATTTGCAGTCAGTTTCTTTCCCTCTAAACCACACTGGCACCCCAAACAGAAGCAGCTTTTACTTGCCGTCTAAAAGCGTCTTTCACTAACTTATCTTTCACCAAACTTCTAAATATTTAAAGCAGCTTTACATCCTTCTGTTCATGCCATAGTCTGCCAAAGTGCTGTTCAGTGCCTCGGATGCGGTACATCTCTCCTCCGTCTGTCGTCACTATAACAACATATTTCAGAAGAGTTTGCTGTGCTTCCACTTTTTGGACAAGTGCACCTTTGTTAAACGTAAAATGACAATAAGTCATCCTGAGCTGTGCGTTTTGGCTTATTTACGGCTCTTTAATGTTAGCGTTCAATCACAGATTTACTTTCTCTCTCTCTCTCTCTCTCTCAGATTGGCTTGCTGCTGGATGTCACACTGTGTGGGCTGCCGGCGAACGCTTGCGAGCGTAGCAGCAGATGGTTGCCATGGTAACCTGGGCCTACACATCCTACCAGGCATTCCCACTCAGTGAAACACCCTATCTCTCACAAGTTGGAGATGCGCGCGTCTGCACGAACACACACACAAAGGGATTCGTACAGTATACACACACACACACACACACACAAAAAAAAACATGCATGCACAGTAGCATACACATTTCGCCGAAGGGTGACAGGTTTTCCGGGGTGCAGAGGTGTTTTATTTCTAGGAAGCTTTTTTATTTTTTATTTTTTTCAAATGTGATTTTTTATTTTTTTTTCTCAGGAAATAATAAAATGATGCCATTAATAATCAGTGTCTTTTGTCTCCTCCCTTATATCAGAGCACCAAAGCCAAGCTCAGATGCGGCAACCTGTCTCAGTGGTATTAGAGGAAGCATTATGAATATTGTTTCCATTCAATAACACATTTGAATTTTTCACATTTTTCATCACCTCCTGTCACCTGTTACATAACCCCTCCCCTGCTCTTGGGGAAAACGGTTTTATCCGTGTGCCAATCTGTACTCTGTAGGGACCATTAACAGTAACCGGTAAACAGCACTGGAGAGGTTCAAGTACAGTAGATATCAATCAGATGAGGGGGTCGGTATTACATAATAATCACACGTTTGTGCTGACAACTGCAAGACTTAAGCCAAAAAAAATCTGGAAGAAGTTTTCAATGAGAAGAATCAATAGTTCGCGAAACCTCATCCCCCAAAGAGCGTTTTATCAGCAGCACAAGGCATGCCTGGCAGGCTTTGGTTTCTCCACATGTGAGAGGAGAGAATCTGAAGGATGGTGTCTTCTTTTCTTTAGCTTGTCCAAAGCCAAAAATGCAAGAGCAAATATCTAAGGAGTGAATTATAGTGTGAGGCTTTTGGTTTTTTTATGTGAAGAAAACCTTAGTGCTCCAAACTGATATACTACCTACAGTGGAGGAAGTATTTACATTATTTGCTGATGTCAAAGTAGCAATATTAGAGTGTAAAAATACTCTATTACTTATTACTATTGAGAGTAATTAATTTCATAACAATACATATTATTGAAGCATACATAATTACTGATTCTTTAATGTGTACATCACATTCATTGGTAGCTGGAGCTAACTATACTTACTTTACATATGGCTGGATCACTTTATCCATAATTGTATAGCATAATTTATTAGTTGGCTTAACTAACTAAGGAAAGTGTTTTTTCCACCTAATTATTGTAAGATTACAGTTTACAGAATAAAATCTAGATATCTGTTCAGTCCTGACACGTCACCTATGTGGGAGCACAAGGAAAACAATAAGAAGTTTGCTCTGCTCTGTGTTTGGTTTGAGGAAGTTAAGGTTCTCCAGCAAAACTTTTGCTACACAGCATTAGCGAAACTCATTTATTCTCCCTTATCCCTACAAAAATCAATCTATTATCAATCTGTTCATTATTACAATACTTTTTAACTTATAATACACTGTTATGATATTAAAGTTAACCAACCAGAAATAGACAAAAACAGGCTATTTTCATGTTTTCTACATGATAGGAGTGTTTAAAGTCTGGACCTAGACTTTCAGGTTACTTATGGAGATGTAGAGAAAATTATACTTTATTTTTTTCTTTTTCTTTTAAACCTGTGGAGCTGCAGTTCTGAAACTTTTAGGCTCCAAATCCATCCATCCATCATCTATACACCGCTTAATCCATACCAGGGTCATGGGGGGCTGGAGTCTATCCCAGCTGACTCAGGGTGAAGGCAGGGGACACCCTGGACAGGTCACCAGTCTATCACAGGGCTACACTTCGAGACAGACAACCAAGCACACTTACATTCACACCTACGGACAATTTAGAATCACCAATTAACCAGCTTCCTCCCAACTGTGTGGGAGGAAGTCGGAGAACCCGGAGAGAACCCACGCTGCACGGGGAGAACATGGAGACTCCACGCAGAAAGATCCCGGGTGTCCTCACTGGGATGCAAACCGGTGACCTTCTTGCTGCGAGGCGATGATGCTAACCACCCACCCACCTTGCAGCCCTAGGCTCCAAATAAGTAATTAAATTTTTCTTAAAGCAGTCAACACTTACAAACCAAGAGAGCTGAACCTGTGTAACCACGCTCTTCCCAAAACCTGATCATTTTGGTTTTCCAGATGTTTCCCGTGGGCTCGTGGCCTTTAGATTGGGTTAAGACTGGCTATGGCTATCTGACCATCTTCAAACCTCCAGCTTTCATTGTTAATTAATGAAAACATTCTTGACAAACGCTTTCTTTCATGTTTCATTTTTAGCATAAAGAGTGCAGACCTGTTTTTGATCCTCAGTCCCATCAAGGGCTCCAGTAAACCACCACAAAGACTGAACATCATCACCACACCTCTGCTTTCCTGTACGTCAAACTGTCTGCCGTAATAAATTAAAACCATCTAAATCCAAGGTTGTTGGCTTGAAATGAAAAGCTTGCTTTTGTTTTCTTTAAAATCCCATTATCTCCAAAAAGACTGATTGACAAATCATCTTTCTAAGCTGCATAGGTGTCATGCTCAGACAGAAACCTAGCAACAGCGAATTCCAAATAAGTAAAGCAGAGGAAGACTGTCTCATCCGTCAGAGATCCATTTACCTTCAAAACAGACACACTTCACATGTGCATCACGAGTCAACAGGCATCGTCATCTTCAAATTACAAGTCAAACACTTGTCATTTCAAGGTGTGCTTTAGAAAAAAAAGAAGAAGCTGCGAGTGTATGTGTGTGACTCTGAGTGGGCTTGCAGAGTCACCTCATTGTATATCTGGAGCCAACCACCACGCAGATCCACAGTCCGATGACCCAACCACACACACACAACCACACAAGGCTACAAGACAAGCAGAGAGAAGAGAGAGAGAGAAAATACAGAGCGAGACCCAAGTGTTTCGCTAGCCATTTCCAGGTCCGCCTTACATAAAATGCAACGCTGCCCACACACACAGTAAGACTTATGTAATTCCCTCAGAGAAAGAGAGACACAGAGAGGGAGAAACAGAAGAGAGAGATAAAAGATAAAAATGATGAAAAGCGAAGAGAAAAGCCGGGACTGAAAATTAAAGATGGATAAGGAAATCTCAACTTCAGTGGGCCTGCAGCGCTGCAGTTCAAGCTGGCAGACTGGAATGTAATAAGCAGAAGGAGACGCACACTGTATATCTAACAAGGTGTCTTTGCACCTGAGGGCAGCAG